AATGATAATAATGTGTTGGTACTGAGTGGTAGAAGTTAAGACATGTGCCACATATCCTGGTTTAAGCCAGGTACTTAGACCACTACTGCATATCACCCACTCTGGAAGGCAGCACATTGCTCTGTGCAGATAGAGTGCTCAGAGCCCGAGTCGGGGAAAGGTGGGAGGGATGGGGAGGATCAAACCATTTTTGAGGCAAGGAGGCTGCTGTATTTTTGTTGTTAATATATTACGTTTCAACCAAATACTGTATGGTTTTGACACTTTTCTAGCTTGTTAAAAAAGGACATACAGTAAAATAAATAAATAAATAAAAATCTCTCAAATTTTAGGGGTTCTGGGATTCTAGTTAGGGGTGCTTCAGCACCCCCAAAAATGGACTAGAAACGCCTATGCTGAGCACCATTCTTATGTGATTTATCCAAAACTTAATCCAGCATCAGAAAAGGGTCCAGGAATAGATTTCTTTCCATTAAGTTATTGCTTCTGTGTGGCAATCGTCCAGTGAATTTCCGATTTGTTACAGATATTGCGTCATCAGATCCTCATTGAACACTTGAGGATTGGTGGTTGAAGTAGTAGTAGTGGAGGCTGTTGTGAATATTTTGTGTTTACGAATTGTGTCACAAGCTGACTTTGGCAGATGGCTTTCCTTGAAAAAGAATATGAAGAGATTTGTGGGTAAACAAAAGGATCATGTTTTTTGTCAGACTCAAGATATTATTTAATCCACATGTGCTTTTTATTGCGTTTTACGTAATTATCGACACTAGAGCCAAAGATTGGTATTTTGGACCTGCATGAAGTAATATAAAACATGACTGTCTGTTTCTCACATGAGAAGAGTATTGAATCCATCTGAAGACAGCATAAATGTTTACATCATAAAGATATTGGTCTATTTGGTGCACAAGCGTGTGGCTAAGAAACCGTGTGAAATATTTACTGTCATGGCAAGGTTAAGAAGCAATAACAATAAAGCTCGTAACCAGTATTCTCAGTATTTCTTTGAATTCAGTGAATTTGATGAAAGGGATAAAGCAAGGCGGCCCCATAGAGCTTTTACTACAAAGCAGCTGCAGCCACATTAAAATATTCAGTTAGCCACTGATAGCTGGCTGTTGTTGCTCAAGTAAGGCTGATGTAAGGTTTCAGTGTGGCTTTGTTGTAATTTTGTCTCAGTAGATTAGACAAAAAAAAATAAGATGGACGTATATGAACCAAGTTTCTTGAAAGGTTTGATGTATTTATTTAACAGTATTCATTTATGACAATTTCTTACACATTCTGGACTGTGGTAAGAATTTAACCCTGTACTTTACCAACAGTTTCTTCAACAATCTGCAGAGCTCACCATGTCAGATCTGCTCATCACTGCTCATTTCAAAATGCACAGTGTCCTTTAATCTATAAACTGGCAGCTATCAACAGTGATAGAAACAAAAGCTGACAGGTGCTTATTAAAACATCTATGTGAAATCTGTTCTTTTACAATAAATTCATCCAGGGGATGAACCTATAATCTTCCTCTCATACATCATTCTAGCAGCCCAAATATTATGTAACAACTTCTTGGTGTTCATGAGTGGAAACAGTCAGGTAAAATTCAAAGACTGCATATTTTGGACATAGCCAAGATGAGAAGTGCCTAGGATAAATTACTTCATTATGATGAATAATTATGATATTATCAATTATAGTTGGTATTTAATTTCTAATGAAATAAAGACGTTCCAGGGTGGAAATACATAAAGGAATACTTATAGAACATATACTGGAAGGCAGAAATATTTTAAGCCACGTAGCATCAGTGTAAATAAAGCTCTTGGATAATAAGATTGAATAAATTGTCTGATTTAAATATAGAGGGTTATTTATTGGGCTCCATTTATGTCACTCTGGCAATTATTCCTGGCAGTCTGTCAGACCATGACAGGTTATATAACCTCTGAATCTGCTTCTCCATATGACACATACCACAGAGATGGAAAACAGAAGTCGCTGTGCTCTATAGATTCTTATCAACTATGTTAAATGTGAAATTACCTTACTTCGTATTAGGCTTCCTAGTGTTACTTAGGATGTTTTAATTAACAGCTCATATGATACTAATCCTGATAATAGTCCTACAGACACACAGATGTGTATCATTCACTTCTTAGAATAGCAAACTTGACCTGACTGTTAGTGGAAGTGGCGTTGTCTGAACTTCTGAGAACTAATAGTTTCTCCGTGACTCTATCAGCCACTTGGAAACAACAACACTGACAGAGAATGGTATCTTGTTATGAACAGCAATTCTAAATTCACATTTTTCATGAGTATAAGACAAATTAGAGGTAATACAAAAGGGATCCAACAATGTCTAGTGCCTTTACTAGATGTCCAGTGAAAATGAACTATGTCACACTGGATTTGAGTGGGGAAAGGGGAGCAGACCTACAGGCTGGAAAGTTTTCTAAAAGATAAAAATCGTGATGGCTGACGTCGGTCTCACAAAATCATAAGTTTTATCATTGTCAGGGTATCATGGCTCCCTCATGAAACTTAATACTGGTGATACCCACACCAACAAAGCTAGTTATCTGGCACAGGCAATATAGGATTTACAAACTCAGTAGTATGTGCATTCACATCAGTCAAGTGGGATGACTAACAAAAATAGAAAAAGCTACCGGCCTAGTTGATAGTGTCGATAAGCTACTGTCAGACAAACCTACTACCTATTTAAGCAAATAGTTAGTTGTTTTGACAGTCACCCTCTTAATTCCGACGACTTGTTATGATTTTGCAGTCATGCAATGTAAAGAAGCACCGCTCTGATCTGGAACTGCCACTCAGCAAGAGGATTTAGATTCACACTGGTTTCTGTATAAGTAAATTTTAAATTGCTTTTCTGCTTGGGTACATAATGTTCAGTTGTACTCCGCTCATGTAGATGAAGACAGATTTTATTTGGCCAGGTCCATACATGATGGCAATACAGCAGAAACTCATCCTAGGATCAGCACACAGCCACCATGCCAGGAAAATGTCAGCTCTTTTGAGTCAGTGATGCATCCAGATGACGAGTCACTTTCACACAGCTGCATCCAAGGCATTCACTGATACACACATTTACTGGACCATGGAGTTCTCCTGGTATGCTTATATGAGTGATTTGGGACAATTAAAAACAGAAGAAACCTTCCTTGAACTCCAACATTTTTAGTTCCAATGAGGTATACTTGTATATTACATCAAGAACATCATACTATTCATCATACTTATATGCAAATGTAAACTTAATGCATTGTAAAGTTTGATGAGATAAATAAATCATTAATTTGCATCACTGAATCCTGAACATCTCAGTTAGATATAGTAATAACTGCTTTTAGGGAAAATGTGTGCTTTTCTTTCATCTGAACTGTACATGCTTTACTAATTAAATTTTCTGCCTGTGTGGTTTCACTTAAGGATGAGCAAACAGCTGTCTGTTGGTGATAGTGACGAGCAGTGGAAACTGTCATGTGAAATTTGAGTCTGTGGTTGGTGATACCAGCAGTCTCATAAATGCCTTTATAATTGATTGGGAGATCACTACATAGTAAAGTGTGGAAAATCCAAAACCAAATGGAAAAGCAATATGACCCTCCAGCAGATGTTTTCTCAATTTCCAGACGATGTTGTAAATGTATAAAATATTGCCTGCTGTGCATCTGGCTGCAGAATGTATTAACTCTCTCTATAGCAACATTTGCATGTTACTGTAGCAATTTGTCTAAATAGTCACGTAGTATCTGCTGCCAAACCTAATGTAACAGTGGCTGACACAATCTAAACATATTCCTCAGAGATGTTAGTGAAGGAGAAAATATTACATGAACAAACAGAAGGATAAAAGATTTACCTTCATGGTCATGGAGGCTTGATTCCCAGCCCACCTCCAGTATTATAGTTCCTCCCATTCCATCTTTACATTACACAACAACAATTACTTATCTTTTATCAAGATGTAAGAAAAATACAGAACGTAGATTTACAAATACTGACATGATACCAAACTGAGCAGCCTAATATATGTTGTCATGACATGTATCCAGTAGGGAGGCCTGTCAGCTCTGCATGTTTTAATCAGATGTGTGCAGTGAACTCTTTGGTATGGTGTCAAACAAGCAAGTGACTTGTTGAGATATGATACAGTATTTAAGTGCTATCTTCAATTTTTTGTCAAACATATATCTGTTGGTCTTGTTGTATAGTAAACAATGAAGCATCATATTTTTGTACTTCTTGTTTGTTTGGCAGGCAGGTTATTATTTTGGTTTTCCACAAGCCACTGAACAGATAGAATGCTTCACTTAAGATGTCATTTTAAAATGACTAAATAAAGCAGCATTTAAATGGCACCACAATAATGACTTCACCACTTCAAACAGTGGTGCACCAGCTGCCTGACTCAATAAAGCCTGTTGTTGCAAACAGTTAATTATTTTAATATAACCTTACAGATAAACAAAACATTGCTTTTTACATTTTGCCATGTTTGTGTTTTTATATGTTGCAAGAGTTTGTGTTTGTATCTTGGCAGTCACTCAAATTTTTACCCATTTTACTCCATCCAAGAGGCCATAAACAGCACTGAGGAGTTTTGCACATGAGCCAAATATCAGAGGAGCTGGACCTGTCCCAAATGTCTGCATGTAACAGCTCACAATATGTCCCAGCAACCTCAGGGCAAAAACTTTATCTGGCTGTGTTGTCACAAACACAGACTTTAATATGATTTATCTTCTGATAAACATATAACAGTGCATTCATTGTTGTTTATTTCATAATACCCACTGTAAATAAAATCGTAATTACTGAAGTTAAAGTTAAAATGAATGACTTGTTTTTGTATTAAGCTACGTAGTAGTATCATAGCATAAAATAAGTTGTATTTTTTAGGTAAGTTAGCATCTTATTAGCATTATATGGAATTACACACTTTCTGTGAAAAATGAAAGAAAGAGTAATTTTGCACATTGAACCCAGTTTATTTCATATTTTACATAATGTCCACTTGGAAGTTCCCTCTTAAACATACAGAAAAATGACTGGGCCATTGAAAAGAATGACTCAGAAATATTGCAGTCTAATTTAAAGACCTCGTTTTTGGAAATATAAAATGCAGACATGATATTTAGATTTGAAATTTGACTCTCTTTTCTGAACCAATGTTGACTACTTAAGGACTTCACAAGTACATTAGAAATGACTCCAAACAACAATCTCTTCAGATGCCCTTTTCAAACTGGCGTATGTTTATAAAGAATGCACTTTATTGGAAGATGTAATAAAAAACAAAGGAAAAAACCCTGGAGTTGGATACATCATTCCACATGAAACAAAAATTTACACAAAACCTTAACCACTTTACAGCCACAGAAATTAAAAGAATGTAACAGTTTAAGCCTCTATTTTTTTCATGTTTATCATGCTAAGATTTATAAATCTTCCAAAACAGCCAGTAAAATCTCTTTGTTTTAACCTTCACCTCTAGCAAATGCACAGAGAAATTTAGAACTGAAATGTTTTTATTACTTCTCTAATGGCTTGGATTTTATTGCTACCCTGACTTGCTCTGTGTCTTTAAAGTCATGCCAAAACGTTAATTTGAACTGTTTGAATATGCTGAACTCTTTCCAGACATTGCACACTCATACTAGATATACATTCAAAGCACCATTAAATTGTTTATGAGAATAGTTTTATTTTTGTCAAATATACCTGTTACAGTATATTTGGAATCACTGACATTCTAAGTGTATCCCCTGTATTAAAACATCACTTTTATCGTCTGGGTTTGGTGTCTCACTCTGCCTTTATAACGTCGATATTTTCATCTGCCCATGCTCATTCCTTTGGCCTCTTCCTGCTGCCAGCTGGTAAACAAAAGGAAAAGGTTAGAACCATAAATACATGTAAGTCATTCAACTTATGGAAATAGATTATTATGTGAATGTAGACTATGTATTGCGTTTAAGTTTGGCATTTTGGCTCTGATCTCATCACTCCCTACAAAGAAACACCAAGCTCAGCTCAGCACAGCAGGAATGGGGAGTGATGATGATAACTTCACCTATACTGAGGCGTATAGACTCAGAGCCTACAGGTGGATGCCGCAGTGAAAAAGGGGCTCATGAAATGCTATACAGTATGAACAGCAGCCACTGTGGCCTTAGCATCAAGTGTCAGCATAGCTTTTACATGAACATTGTGGCGCCAAGCATGGCAGCAAAAGGGTTAGCAGCGCACAGTTGGTTCAAACAGTTAACAGTGTTAACAGTTTGACATTTCAGGAAATGCACTGATTTACTTTCTTGCCAAGAGTTAAATGAGAAGATTAATACCATTTATATATGAAAGTGGAAGCAATCTTTTTTATCTAACTCTCAGCAAAAAAGTGATTGACTAAAGTGTATTTCTCAAAATGTTGAATTATTCCTTTAAGCACACCTGCCATGATTGAAGGGGTGTGTTGGATATATGATACAGGGAGAAGATTATGCCATGAGAACACAGCAGCGGACTCCGACTGACCACCTGAACTATCTCCCAGATTACACTGTATTTATTGAAATTGCACTGATTTATTTTCTTTACCTACAACTCTTCAAGTAGAGGTTCTTCTCGTATTGCCTGCTTCAAAGGCACACAAACATATAAGTCACACACTATTTATAAAATATTCTTACCCAGTCTCTGAGATGCACAAACTAATGAAACTCACCTTGGATCATTTTGGTAAGTCGTTCAGCGTCCCCTTCAACGTTAAGTGTTGAAAGGTCAATTCCTGAAGGAAAAAGAAAACATACTTAATGAGAAAGTGGATTATTTTTAAATTCGGCTCAAAGAATAATTAGGTTATATTCTGGTTATTTTATCCTTAATATAGCAATGACAATCTTAACACTGTACCTGAGCATGCGTTTAAACACCTGCAATTTCATAAAATTTACATATTGAATCACCTATTAGCATCAATTATACTGTAGCATGTTTGTGTTTTAACTTTTCCAAATTTTATAAGCGGGATCACCTGTAGTATATCACTTGAACTAGTGTGAATCTGACTTAAAATTTTTTATATGTATCAGTGGAAAATATATGTCCTTGCAAATCCAACCAAATGGGAGGCTAATGTGCACACGTGCAGTGAACTGAACGATAAAACATTGAACACCATTCTTTATAGTGCTTAAAAAAACAAAACACACAATTGTTCTTTCTTGAGGGTCCAGGTTCAGTTAGTGGGACTTAGGGGGATATAACAGCAGAAATAGAATATCGTCCATGGAGTCTGCCATGTTGCATTGCCATGTTTCTACAGTAGCCCATAATGGTCAAACCAAACACTGGCTCTAGACAGTGTCATATACATTTTTGCATTTCTGCATCAACTACCATGGTTAGCAACCCCTCTGGACTATAGCGGCTCATCTCTAACATGTTGAACAACATTGGATAAACACTGATTGTAATGTTAAACTGCTTTGTTCTGTGTTTCTACCAGTTTAAGTCACCTTGTTCATTTGTTTTGTGGAGGAAGAAACCTCTGCGGGTAATCCAGCTCCCGGTTAAAAACCTCCTTAACAGTGAAGACTAAAGGATTTCTAACCAGAAGGTGTTTCAGCTGGTTGCAATCTGTAGTCCTTACCACTGGATGCCACTAAATCCCCCCAAATCTTATGCATTGCTTCATCAAATTTCTGTTTTCAAGTCTGAATTAGTTTCACTGACCTTCCAGGTCGATGTTGGTGGTGCCAGTGCTGACTGAGTACTGAGGGCCTGCAGACGACAGCATTCACAAAATTGTAAGATGATAAATGGTATAAAGCTACTGGCATATTGATTCAAGTAAAAAATATTTCCCATCAATGACCCTGGTAACTTTGGTGAAGGAGGGATCACCTTCAATGACCCTGGTAACTTTGGTGATGGAGGGTGGACCTTCAATGACTCTGGTAACTTTGGTGATGGAGGGTTGAGCTTCAATGACTCTGGTGACCTTGGTCACAGAAGGTTCCCCCTGAATAACCCTTGTCACTTTGGAAACTGAAAAAGCAAAGAAGGCATGTGTCACTATATTGAAATGACAGGCAGCACAGCCCCTCGATACAGAGAATTTTCCATTTGTATGCAGGTATCATAACAAATGGACCTTTCACTGGATCAGAAAGGTTGCTTTAACAAAAATGTGATTCATAATCACAGGATCTCTGGCATCTAGTCTTTAAAGTCTAGTCTCTTTAATTTGCACTGCTGTTTCAATTTAATAAATTGTGTTGTTTTTTCTATTTGTGGTTCTTGATATTTTAGATATAAGGCTTATTATTTTTGTTTTTTATTATTCTTTTTTTATTGCTGACTGGTACAAGTAATTAGCCAGTAGCAGAAAGAAAGATCCTCTTTTGTCCTCTGTCTTATTAATGCTACTTCAGCTGTCAAACCTTGCATGTGTGTGCATGAACTTGCATGTGTGTGAAATTATCTGGACAAATGAAAAGCGTCCGTGATTTATCAGTACATGTTTCAACTCAACAGACAGGAGCCTCCCTATTTTTTTACCCTATTCTATGCATGAAACTGTTTCATTAATCAAACATAACCTGTCCGCTTTTACTGATTAGGAATCACATTATGATACTCTGTAATCATCATTACTGTAACTTCCTCGACGACACGAGTGATGATCGTCTCTGATAACAACACGAGATATAAAGCCATTAATGACAGTGAAGTGTGCCTCTCAGAAGATTAAGAATACTGTATTTTGCAAAAACAATAACCAACACAAATAAGCACAATATTATGGCTACTTACTCATAAATGTAAGGGGAATCTCCTGATATCTGAATCCTGGAATGTACTGTAAAAAAAGATAAAAATCTGTTACAGAAGATATGCCCTTTTTTAAAAGCACTAGCTTCATGCTTTTCACAGATGGTCTTCAAGCAGGTTCTTGTCTTGTATGCATGTTGGGTTACATAAAGAATATTTTGGCAGCCAAGGAATAATAAAAAAAACAACATCTGTAGAGAGAAAACTGCACCCTGGCCTTTATAAGCTTATAAGCCTTGCAGCTTTATAACAAGAATAAACTTTTTGATATGACACCTTAATTTGCATGTAAGTGATGAACCTCCTCAATAGTGTAAGGAGATCCTGGCTTCCAACAGGGATATCTGGAAGAAAGCACAGGGCGTTAACTACTGTTGGGCCTTTACAACAGTTAGGGTCATGCAGAAAGTGCATCTCTTGACAGATTTTATAAAAGGAAGGGAATATGAACTAAGTTGACTGGTTAGAAAATTGTACCTCCGGGATACAAGACTTGGTTGACGAAGTGAATGACTCCATTTGTGGCCATGATATCAGATTCAGGGACTCGGACAGAATTCACTTGCACAGTGTTGTTTGCCTGGGGGAGACAGTTAAAACAATTACAAACAAGAAAACCACAAAATGATGGACCTGAATGAACCTGTATGAGGAATGAACTCTATTCTACAGTAAATCATGTTATTAGTTTTCTGAGGTTACTCAGTTACAAAACTGAAGATAAGCTTTTATCAGATAAAAATAATATATCAGAATTTTACTGAATAATTAAAATACATTTTTATACCTTTAATCATAAAGATAACAAAAGGTATAAAGCTTGAATTGCTTAAGGTATAAAGTTTACTGACCAAAGATAAAAGATGTTTAGTCCTACTGTGCTAAATACTTACAGACATCACTTTGAGGTTGCTGCCCTGAAGAGACTTGAGAAGGTTTGTCACCCCAGACTCCAAACCACCACCAATGAAGACACCCTTATTGATGTGATACAGAAGAATGGTTCTGAGAGCATTTATGTCACCTGAAATTAAGAGTGGCAAGCACATAAACTATCATTATTATCATAATTATTATTATCATTATTTTATTTGATTTTAAACTATCAACATGAGTACTTGAACACATTAAAAGGTAAAGGGAGTCTGGGAGACCTACTCTTCAACAAGTTGAAATCATTCTCGCTCAAACCAGCGAAAGCCTTATCACTTGGGGCAAACAGAGTAAAGTCTCCCTCCTGTTTTAGCAGGTCAGTCAAGCCAGCAGCTTCCATCAGAGACAAAAAGATCCTGCAGCACAGAGAAGAAAACAGTAAGTTGGCTGTTACAGAAACCACTGAGGGCTGACATATTGCAACAACAGCACTTTCTCATTGCCATATGTGCCATGTGGATTTAATGGAAAGATACAGAAAGATGTGGTTTGAGTATTATGCTGCGTTTTAATACCGCAGTCCAATTTCACTAACATTTCTCTGTACTTACTTGAACCCTCCATTTTCTACCAGAATTTCAAACATAGTTTTTTCTGCCGGTTTTAACAGAGTCCTCATGAGATGAAGGGCCCCGTTGCTTCCTTCTTTACTACCTCTTATCAGACAGGAATTCTCAATGCACACAGCCTGCAGAAACAATCCACAAGTTAAAGGCAAGGGGATTAATGTCACATCTCAAAGACATGAGGATTGATGGTCAAATGAGAGGGGTAATGCATATAGTGTGTGTTTAGTGGAATCGTGCCATAATTTCTGGGCACAACTTCAGAGAAGAGGACGCACCGTACGATAGATGAAGACCCTGAGAATTTTTCCTCCAATGGTCTCCAGCTGCTGGCCATTGAACAACTGTCCCAGGACAATCTTTCTCTTCAAGATGTGGTTCTCCAGGATAATCCTGAGCAAGCTCTGATCCATGGACATCACTTCATCTACAGAGGAAATTGTATTTCCCATTTAAATAAAACATATCGTAACATTGTAGATTTACATCTAATGTTTTGGCTTTAGCAACAGAAACAGGTATTTATATTCTTATCATTCTGTCCAGAGAGAGAGCAATACAACTGTGAGCAAAGACAAATCTGCTATGAGAGACTTTATTTACTGCACAGTTCAGAAGATGAACCATAGTTACCTACACATCATGAGATATGACTGTACATAGAAGAATTTAGAGTTTGAATATAAGGGTGCTGTTATATCCAGCTGTTACTTGTGCATTCCTTACACCCATTTAAAACTGTATGCCTACAAAGATAAAAGTATTCAGTCTGGATTAATTACACATTCTTGTTACAGACACAAAACATCTCCACTCCCTTCTGGTGAAGTCCAGGAATGTTTTCTGGGGGAGTGGGTATTTGGTCTTACATGGCATAATGTTTCTGCAGTGCCCCAATAAATCCATAATTTCCCTGAAGCTCCAAATATGTACATATCTATTTACTTATGACTCAGCAGGCAAGGGGAGATTAAAAAATATTCCCCTTTATTCCAGACTGTGACTAAGTGTAGAGCAGACAGGGTTCATATTTAGCCACATGCTAAATGGAAAACAGGGGTCTGTGTGATATTACAAGCAGTATTACTCACCATTGAAGGCAATGTTGAGGGGAGCCAGCAAAGTGTAATCGGCGTCTGCTCTCATGTCAGCAGAAAGGCCAAGCTCGGACACCAAATCACCAAATGTTGACTGGGAGCTTCCCACCAGTTCCATCACCTGCTTAGCTTAAAGGGCATAAGAAATTCCAATACCATTAAAATAAGGATTATAAAAAAGAAAAGAAAAAAACACCAGGAACAATATACATATTTATGTAATAAGCCAGATTTGCTTGAATAAGAGGAAAAGATGGGAGTCTAACCTGAGTCTGGCATGAGCACTTTGTCAATAAGGTGAATGACACCATTGATGGTGACAATGTCCTTCTTGCGCACCATCTTGACGCCGTTGACTGTTAGACTTTCGCCATCACAGCCAATCTCAATGTTGTTGCCCTCCAGGGTCTCGTAAGAGGTGCCAGTCATGATGGCCTCAGAGCACTGGACTGAGTCCAGGAGATGGAAATTCAAAAGAGCTGAAAAAGTGAGACAAAGTCTGGTTTAGGTGTATAAGTAGATATTTATTTTAATGCAGAGTAGGTCAGTTGGCTGCATGGGCTGTTTTATGTCCTCTCTCAGCATATTGCAGCTGAGGATAAAACACCATGGGAACCTGAAGACCCTTTGGATCCCTTGGGTCCTTGACTGAGAAGACTTGAGATTTCATCACAGTTCTGTTAAACTTTGTGTGAAATGGTCTGATCTCACATCATAAGGCAAGCTGTGGGCTAATAAAATTTTTTGGGTTGTTGCCAATATGACCAGCTTGCTCAATAAAGCAGCTGTTTCCTGCCTCTCAGTGTTGACGCAAAACAAGCTAATGTTAAAAATGTTGAAATTCTGCACTTTTTTGTTGGTTTCTTCGGGATAACTAAAAGAGTTTACAGTACATTTGAAGGCTTTAATTTGCCCCAGTTGACGATTATAGTGGTATAACTCTTGCAAATGTTTGAAAAAAAAAAATACTAACAGCTACAGTGTATGGATCCTGACCTACTCACAACCAGTAACTCTAAATGAATGCCAAAAACATTACCAAAGCGTCAAATTATGTATTGCATCGTTTGACTTCCCACCAACAATTTCATGTGTGACTTGAAACTTGAGACTTATTCTTATTACTCTTCGACAAGACTTTGTTATGTACAGCTTGCTGCCAAATGTGTTTAAGTTCCAGATCCATTGTAGCATCATCTGTTTTGAGTTGAAAGAAGTTGAACGTGTAAAAAAAAAAAAAAAATCACTTTATGGGCGACATAGTCTAGGAAACATGCCGCCAGGGAATCACAGCATTTCTTTTTCCTGTACTTTCATCAATAAATGTAAATTTGGGTCTAGTTTGTAACAGTTAATATAAATCATTTTCTTCTGCTGCTGACTGCTATTTTTTGACTGGCCTTGAGTGATCTTTTGGAACAGCAATAGAATTCTATGACTGAAACTCTGGTTTACCTTTAAGGACTTCCTTGTCACCCTGAAGTCTTTCCAACACGTCGCTGCCCAAACTCTCGAAAGCTTCGTTGGTGGGGGCAAAGAGAGTGTAATGTCCTGACTGACCCAGCTTCTCCAGAAGTCCAGAGTTTTGAGCCACATCCTAAATGGTGATTTTACCAGCAGGAGTGTTTAGTGGAATTCAATATACAATGGAGAACAACAGAATCATTTGCAAGTGATAGACATAACAACCCCAACACCTGAAGAAATTTTTTCAAGTAACTAAATCACAAATGAAAAGTCTGTCTGTGTTTTTCATTTACTTCTAAATCCCTGCATAGGTAAATTTTAGTCTGTGGACTTTGTCCAGTTTTGCTGTTTTTGATCCATCTGCAATATTTTCTGAATTTTCTGAATTCTGCATACTAATCATTTATTCTAATAACTTATGCAACATGTGCTTGCACTTAGTTCAGGATGTTTTTCCTTGACAAAACATGTATTACTCACACTTAGAGTTGTCAGGTCATCGTCAATCTCAATGACATCCCGGATTGTGTTTCCAACAGCACTGATGACACGGTCAATGACATGCACAACTCCATTGGTGGCAACCTGGTTGCCATAGATAATCCGAGCGCAGTTCACAGTCACCACCTGCACATAATGTACACTTTAATGTTATACCAATTAAAGTTATTTTAGTGCAGTTATACAGTAAGAGGACTGCTATGATAATACTGAGTGATAATACTCACCCCATTGGGGTAATGGTTAATTAGGAGACCGAGGTCATTATACATGGAGGTGACTGTCATCCCATTCTTCAAATCTTTGGTCAAGAGGCGTTTGTTGGCCATGTGATAATGTAAAGCATTGTACAGTTCAATGTTGACATTGCTGACCAGTGCACTCCTTACTGTCTGTTAGGTGAAGAAAATTATATGTTAAAATCTCACAGACAGAGAGCTCCCACAACCTTTTTTTTTGTTTTAGACTCACTTCATCCAAAAGCTCCCAGGCCTCGTTGCTGGGGGCAAAGAAGGTGTAGGATCCAGATCCCTCAATCTCAGGCTTCAGCTCAGAAAGTTCAGAGTACTTTTGGGTTGAGGTGGCCTTCACGAGACCCAGGGTGCCATACACGTTGTCAATCGGAGCCACTAATGAAGAGATTTACAGTAAGCATTATTAGATGTCAGCCTGTCAGTCTGATAATAGACTTAGAAAGAAAGACTCAACATCTGTTGACAATATGCTGCACCATCCTTTTCTAGTTTATTTGGTTTAATTTCAAAAATAGCACACAGCTGCTCTACAGTTGGAGGATATGGCCTGATCTAACCTTTATACATTGACCACACTGTTACACTTAACCCACTGTACCTGCAGGGCAACCACGCATGCCCTCCAGCTTCATGTACCCTGGGCAGCACTCATAAAGCACAGTCCTGGAGGAAAAACACACAGATCAGAAGTGTAGATATCATCTCAAATAAGTAGCACATCCTTTGAAAGACTGTTTACAAGCATCTTTTTACATAGCTATATAAGGAATTTTTATTTTGGGGGGCTGCCATGTTTTGAGCTAAATCATCATTTCACATTAGTCTTATAGCGTTTCCAGATGTTACTCATCATTTCATTCATTACCCAAACAGACCATGTGATCCTACAGTTTAGGTCGAAACCTAATGGAAAGGGAAAGTGTGCCTCAAGGATTATGCTACCATTACAGTTGCGTATTTATAAAACCAAGACCTCCTCTTTGAAGCTAAATAATTAGATTGGACTCCACTTGGCATTAGGTTAACCTCAGAAACATTCAGATTTTGGCCTTGAAAAGCTACAGTGTAATTACAGTTGAGTTTTAGGAAATTTTGGTTGACACCAGGAACATTTAAAGGGTCCAATGGTCTTTGTGGAAACAGTTGAGCTAATCTGAAAAACAATTGTCACCAGATTTTTAGAGCTTTTCCTTTTACAGATTTTTATAATTTAGAGAATCACTATTGTGATTTCGGTTTAGATCAATTAGATACAAATGAGAAATGTTTATTTTCTGTTGGACAAACATGTGTGAAGCAGTGTCTGCTCTCCACTTACTGTAAATAGTGCTGGACACTGTAGCCCGAGGAGGATAATAAAATTCAAAGTGCAGCTGCTACATATAAACATGACTGCACCCTTTGCGTCAGCAGGTTTGAACATGTTGGAACTATATCATTGTTTCCAGCTCTAGGAAAGCCAGACATTTGGAAATGTACATTTCAGTTACAGTGGGAAAGGAATATGGGTTTTGGGTGAGAAGTACAGTATGTGGGTTGGTGTGTTGAGTGTTTATGTATGTTGTATATTGGTGTTGAGTTTTTATGTGCGGAACCCATTAGGAATAGTTGCTACCAGGGTAGCAACTAAAGGGGATCCAAGTTAACAAATAAACAAAGATATAAACCTCAAATAACTTACCGGTATGCAACAATAAAAAGACCGACAAAACATGAAGAACACCACAGATGTTCCTATTAGGGGTAAACAGTACCACATGCGTCAAGAGTTGGCTGGTGAGTTCATTACTGCAGACTGCTCAGTTTTTATTGTTAAAAAAACTTTTGACAAGGAAACAGCCTCTTCTTCCATTTATCAGCTCAACATGATTCAAATAATAAGTCATTGACTTTTACAAATTGATCACTTACAATGGCACAGTGTAACAAGTAGCATTATATTTGGTTGTGTATGTACAGTACAGTACTGTACTGGTATTACATAACATAAAATAAGATTGAAGATGAGGAGTGCGCCATGGTTCAGCAGTTCCTCTTCATCAGCAGTTTCCCTGTGAGATCTGCACACCAGGAAAGCTCCATATGTGTGCCACGTGTAGATCAAAATGGGCAATAGTGACTCCATTACCAGGGTTGGGAACAAACAAAGATGTAGTTGGATTGAATTATACCTACTTATCATCATTAATAACCAAAAGATGCTCTTGGGAAAAAAGCCTTCTGACATAAGGTTTCCAACATCTCTTAAAAATAAATCATGTTTTCGTTTGAGCAAAAAGAAAAACCATGTCATCTAATTCAGACAGGGTAGAGACCGAGGCTTTTGGGTCATGGCTAGCTGCACCTCAGTTGAATGGAGTTGGAGGGATTGTGATGAGATCACACAAGCCCCATTGGGGCAGAGTCAGCAAAACCCTCGCTACATTGCTCCTCCACACAGAGGGATTGTGTCTGGCCATGGCGTTGGAAACTTTTGACTTGTCAGCATCTCTATAAAAGAACTGTTCCACTAAGAATGATGATAATTTTGTCTAACATAATATAAGCTGTATGTGGCTTTATTCCAATTCAACCCATCACTAATGGGCAGTTTGGTTGTACAAATCTTTCTTAGAGACAGAGCTGCTCTGGAAGCAGTAATATTCTCATTTGTTGAATCAAACCTCACTGGGACAAGTACGAGTACTTTGGCTGGCTGAATAAAGTAAGATTCTGCAACACTTGCCAAAAACTACTGTAAAAAGTGCAATATAGGCACTATTAGATCATCTTGGTCGGTGACTTTGCCAGAATTATTTTATATGTTCAAGATGGTAGTGCTTTCCTATTGCTTTTTATGTAGAGTAGGCAAGATCTCTTACATCTTACATCTACAGTTCAAGCTACACCAATTACATTAAGAATAAACTTTGTTGTCCCGATTGGTCTAAATCAGACAGATGCTGTTGTCAAAGTTGTATGTACTCTGCTAGATGCGAAATTTACTGATGATTAGCAAAATTGTTTGCTTTTAAATCAGCACCACTTACATGTATGCTGACTGAAGCAATTAAACATACGGCTAAACTGAAATACAGATTTCTATTTTGTTGTCATGCTTGTGAACTGCTGGAAAGCATCTGGGAGCTTGTAGAAGACAGGGTGGGAGGAATGATGGCAGAGTTATAGGTTTGGTTGGGGAAGGTAATATGATCTGTGTCACGATAACTAATGCGTTTAGGAAATCTTACTTGATATATATGTGTATGTATATTACAGTTGCAACTGAAAATTGGAGATTCAAATCATCAGTGGGTGACCCCTCAGTTGAGATTGTGTCAGGTTGAGCAGTTTTTTTTTCTTTTGGCCAGTCATTGTGCAATGTACTGGTATCAGTATTTTGCTACAAAGTGAGTGCTCTTTACTTTCATTATAAGGGAAAGCCTTTCTTCCTCCAGGCAGCTGCAGACACAGAGGCAGCTGCCTAGAGGAAGAAAGGCTTTCCATTCTAATGCTCTGAGATACCGTTATCCTCTGCTTTCTGCTTATGAGTGGTACATTTATGGCTCACAGCAACTTAATACGATACAGCTTCTGGCTTTTGTTTGATATCGAGCGTCAGCAAAAAAGGTTGTTGCACATTTCTGATCCGTCATTAGCATAATTAGCTTGTTTACTATATTACATGAATGTCACAATAACACTGAACATCCAGCTGAACCCCATTTAAATTTGCAAACTCTGTACAGAAGAAAATAAGCTAATAGTTGACTAATTCATATTGAACAGCAAAATCTGATTCGACTTACATAATTGAGAGTCAAGTACAGCCTATATGTACAATGTGGATCTTAGCAAATGTATACTGCATGTACCCCACTTTTTTGTATCATTCTGTGCATCTAACACATACCTTGTACCTAATCTTAAATTGACTTGCTTTTTACCATTTTTGTCCATTCACTGCATCAGAAACCAAGTTAATTAACATTTATTTACCAAAAATATATTTTTTTATCTTCAATTGACCCACTAATCTCTGCAAATTCCTGCCACCAGTGCAGCTCTGGGTTGAATAAATTGGTGTAACTCAAACTGGAATCTACCAGTTATAAGTTGTGCTTTCAGGAGACCTTGATTTGCATACTATAGCAGGTATAAATCCATAAACCAGCTTACTGTGTGAATTCAACCTTGGCCCAGCTAGGTTTAATTGATCCCACAGTCCCATGTCAGACTCCCATTGAAATAGATAAAATTCTTTGGCTGTTTCCAACATTATCATTTGTCAAGTTCAATGAGCAGTGTGTATTCATCATGAATAACTAAGCCTATTTAGAGTGCTAAGCATGACTTAGGCATAATGCAAGCATAGAGGGAAGGCTGAATGTGTGTTTGTGCATGTGAAGGAGGGAGAAAGACTGTAAAATAGCCATGGCTTCGATCCATATTTAAACACAAAAGTGCTGTGGGGGCTGGAACAATAAGAGAAAAAGAGGTTGTCTAGAATGATTGAGCAGAGTTCTTTTCCATTCATGAATAGAGTCAACATTTTGCCGCCACATCATATCCTGGAATCAGTGGTTCACCACAGTGGCATTCAACGATGACCAGGCTTCCTAAGTTATGAAAACCCTAATGTACAGTTTATAGGATCGAACAGGACCGTCTCCAATACAAAGGATTTAGGGCCACGTCCATGAATGTGTTTTTCATTCTAGGCGGTAGTTTAATTCGAAGTAAGATAACAGATGTCTGTCTCTATGGAAACATTCAAGTTTCCATGAACACCCTTAAAGAAGCAGCAGAAGAAGAAGAAGCAGACACTGAAGAGAAATGCTACATTTTCAAAAAACTTACAGAATTTACTGTCAGGTTAAACTTTTTAGTCACTGAATTTGCTTGTAATGTTTTTTTTTTAACAGAAGAAACAACTCAACCTGTTGGAAACACAAAAAGTATAACTCACGCTTTCTTTCCACAGATGGCCCCTTGGTACCAATTACGACAGGTGCTGAAGTACTTCTTCTTGGTCCCCATGACTTGCTGGAGCGCGCAGACATTGGGTCTGATGAGAATTGAGGGTCAAAAGGGGATGAGGCATTAATTAGCAGGTAAAACATAAGAGTACAGTTTAATGGAAACTAAATAAATTTAAGTTACTATTTGACAAACAGCCCTGCTGGGTGAGACACCAGACTGTGAAGTGTGAATAATGATTTGGCAACTGTCCCTGGTGCTTCTGAAACCAGACTGTCAAATATGAATAAAGACATCCACGCCTACTAGAGATGAAATTGGTTTGTCAGATATGAGTTATAATACCACAACTATACCCTGCTGGTGCACAACCTTTCTAAGTGAAATAACAAGTAGAGGTAACATCATTCAGTAACATGTGCCATAAATGAACAATTGATATTTGTAAAATAAAATGTGTCTGCATTATAATACAGCAGATTACATATAAAAATAGAGAGGGGCAAATGTGCACAAATGATTAAAGCTAATGATTGTTGTTGCTCAAAGCTCAATACTACTACATGCAAAATAAACTAGGATAACATCACAAAGGTATGAAAAAACATTCAAAATAATCATAATGAAAAATATTAGTAAGCTTACCCTTCTTTTCTTGCCCTGATGCGACTGTGGGCGACTATTTTGTCATAAGCTGAAGAGTCAGCCTTGTCAAATGTAGAGAGCACAAAGAGTGCAAAGGCAGCTACAAAAAGGAGCTTCATCCTTGATATCTTAGCTAGCCCCTCCAGACCCAGAGTAGAGGGAGCAGACTTAGAGTGGGAGTTTATATACCACAAGTCTCACCCTCCACTCAAGGAGGATGGCAACATTTCATGCATGTGTGGACCACCCAGAACTTCTCAGCCACATTTTTATACAAATATACTGTGATTTATCATTTTTGTTTGATTAATTATATTTAGTAAAACATTTTAATATATTAAATAATTCATGGAGGGCTGTTATTGAAAATGGGACCATGCTTACATTCACAAACTGCTTTTGTAATCTCAGTAAAACTTCCAGTCTTTCCAGCCTTTTATGCACATTTATGGGTTCACACATTTTGAGGCATTTTTCACAAAAACATTCTAGACTTGTTCATTTCAATTGTTTTAAGAATTTTCCCGAAGTCACATTCAAAATCCTGCGCAAAGTGTTACTTGATTAAGGCATTCTTTACCTTAAAAGTTGATTGCATTGCATTGAAAACAAGTAAAATTGTATGCACATGTTAGCAGTTTATGTTGAAGAAAGAAAAAGATTTTGAGGCTTAATATTAAGTTTTAAACGAACTGCTTAAACAAATACGCTTCTCACTGTACTGCTTCAAATAGCTCTGTGTATTTTTTAGGGCCCTGAAACTCAGCACCACATTAAGAGACATAATGAGCAGATGAGATACAGAATCCAGCTGCATCTTCTCTGTAAACGTGTCATTTATTTGGACCGCAAACAAAGAAACATTGCATAATCTCTGGTCTAAACAAATGCCAGAGAATTTATCGTATGAATCGTTCAGCATGAAGTTTGCACCACCTAGTGGTGGGAGGGAGTGCAGGCAGTGAGTCTCACAGTATTTTAAGTGGATTTTTACAGTGTTAGGGGAGCTATTACTAAAGCAACACTGGAAGAAGGTGAACAACTGCAGAGACACCCTCGGGAGAAATCTACTTTGATTGATTAATAAAGTTACCTAGAAAAAATAGTTCATACTATTTTGTAAAATGATCGAATTGACAATGTACATGTGATATGAAACTATAACAACATATAATAATAGTACATAAAAGTCACATGCCAGCGAAAAATGCCCCTCAACTGAGTTTGCAAAAAAATAAAATAAAAAATATAAAAAAAGAATAAAGGAAAAAACAAACAAAATAATAATAACAATAATATTGATGATGATGATGATGATGATCAGAAAGTGCAGGGAATGTCAGCCTTGGTTTTGTATATAATGTCCATCAGTCAGACACCTGCCTTTCAGGAACCAGGGACCAAGTTGGGATTTTGCATCAAGCAGGATTACCAGGTAGCTTCTTAACCCTTTGATGCACAACATGGGTCTAAAGTGACCCGACTGAGTGTTTATGTTCTATATCTTTGCAATAAATTAATTTCATCATTCAGTATTAGGTTTTTCTCAATTAACTTGTTTTTGATCATTATACATCCTTATTTTGTTTTCCTTTCTTACTTTTTGAATAAAAACCCTTTTTGTATCACTAGCCCTCTAATGCACAACATGGGTCTAAAATGACCGATATCCATTTTCTATGTTAATTCATGTATGGTTGAGTGTTTCTATGATAGATCTTTGAAATAAATGTATTTTATCATTTATTATTCCAAGTATTCAGTAAATATCTTGTTTTTGTTTTTTTAGCACAAATCATCATTTTTATTTTTCCTTTCTTATTTTATGAACAACCACAGCTTTTGTATTTCTACATCAAGTTTGCACACATGGGTCAGCATTTGGCTGAGTTGTTTGTTTGGAAGTAGGAACACACTTACCTTGGACAACTATTCACAGCTCAGCACAGCTCCCTTTGCACATCTGATACATGTAAGTCTTGTTTTACAATTGTTCAAACATTACCCTAAGAAAATATTTGATGATAATTGTAAAATAAAGTTGTACATAATATTTGATTAGGTTTAGGTTACCTTGAGAGTGAGTACATTACTTGTAAGTAATTACTGTTAGCTAGCTAGCTGTTGACATATTCTATTTTAGTTCTTTGTAGTTAGCTAACTATTGTAGTTAGCTTAACTAACTACTTAGCCAAGTAGTTAGTTAAGCTACTTGGCAAAGTAGTTAGCTAAGTAGTTATCTAAGTAGTTAGCTAAGCTACTTAGCCAAGTAGTTAAATAGGCTAACTAACTTAATAGGATGGTGTCCTCCAGACTTGCTCCGTTTCAACGAAAGAGCTCCTCTCTTGAATAAACTCTTCTCTTCACAGAAGTATCCATTAGTAGTTGAGAAAAATATAATAAAAATTCAGTAAAACTAAGTAAAATTGCAGAGCTACCAGACTTTGCTGCTACTAGTTGAAGCGCATGTTCTAGAATGAGTCATTGGGTCATTTTTGATCCGTGTGGAAACTTTAAGTAGTAATACAAAAACTATTCTTGTTCGTAAAGTATGAAAAGAAAAATGGAAATAATGATCTGTTGTAATCAAAAACAAGATATTTAAAGAATACTTGGAATATTCAATCATAAAATAATTTGATTTCAGAAGATAGAGCAAAGAAACACTCAGCCAGCATGAAATAACATGGGAAATGGATATGGGTCATTTTTGACCCATGTTGTGCATTAGAAGGGGTGTGCATATGTTGTGCATCAAAGGGCATGCAACAACTTCTTTGAACATTTGTTTTTTGTTAATGAATGGCAATTATCAATACTTCCGACTAATGGTGATCATACAGGATTGAATTACAGTATTTTCCATTCCTTTCCATTTATGGCTCAAAATTGTTTGTAGTTTCTGCAGTTAACTACACAAAAAAAGGTCAAAATAAGTACTTAAACTACTTGAGTCATTATGTAAATATAAATGTAGCTAATTACCAGCAAGCTAGTACTTGTATCTCATTAATTCAGCCTGGACATCTATCAAACCACTTTAATAATATTGTCAAATTCTTATTGGAGCAACACCAGCCTTTCAAGGCAACAAAACCTGATACATTTCTCAAACTGTTTGGCAAGTGAAGAACTAACAGGGCACAGCCATTTGTACCTTCATATATGCAGTAGTACCATAGCTACAACTACAGACAAACTTTGAAAATTATTGTCTGTGAAATGGCTCACACATGCATAATTTCAAGCCCTAGAATTAGCCAAAGAAGATGATAATAAGCTACTCCTTATAAACAGCATAAGCACACCTGTCAAACATATAAAGGCAGCTATTTGTAGTATTCTATCTTTTTTGGTTGATTACTAATAAGCAAAATGAACCACAGCATCCAACATTAAGTTCTGAAAGTGCAGCTGTTGTTTAGCTTAAGCAGAAGTTGTTGTTGCCCATAGCATACCCAAGTGGCATCACTTACACTATTCATTGTGCCACATGTTCAGCCTCCTGGCTAGCCAGATGTTACAAATGTGAGCAGGAAAGTCATGTCCTCCTGGCAACTAAGTCAATGGATTGTAAAAAGGGAAAATACTCAGCCCAGGATCCAATACTGAGTCACAGCTCTGAAACAGAAAACCAGTGGCCTCAGTTATGCTTGTCTATTACGTGTGTATTTTTAACCAGTGACTTGAAAAGATCAGAAAATCATCCATTCAGCAACCACATGTCCATTAAAAAGATGATACTTTCAAGGCAGCAAGCCTCTTATGAACTTCATTAGTGAAGGCCTTTAGAAAAGCACTTAGACATAAAATCCCTACCCGGGCTTTCCGTCTCTCAAAGACTGGAATACATTAACTTTACAATCCCAACATTCCAATGAGCAGCCAATTTTCTAACTAAAGACTCGTACTCGTCTCACTTGCATGGAGAAATAATGGCACCGATGAACATGCTGCAGTGATAATGAAATGCAGTGTGGCTTTTACACTTTGAATCAGAACACTCTGAATCACTTACTTTCACACACACACACACACACACACACACACTGACACACAGACACAAACACTGCATGCGCCTCAAAGAACGGATAAAGTACGTTTTGATCCTAAGTGCGGTTTCCTCCCTTTGTATCTTGGTGGTAAGCTCCTTTTAAGTGGAAAAAGAAGAAATATCAATCTAAATTGAGAAAGCTCTTCAGATATACTACAAAACCCCAAACAGTCTGTTGATTGGCTTTCTAAAGATAGTGTGGTTTGCTCTCAGCTGCTATGGTAACAGAAAGCTAAAGATTTCATCCAGCACCCCAGGTTGTCTGCAGCTTCAAGCTATGAAGGTGTGGAGTTGAATATCTGTGCAAATATATAAGTAATAAAAACGTAATTATCATTACAACTGATAAATAACTGCAAGTACTATCAATTAAGACTATACTTAGTCACTAATTAATATGTTAGTGATTGCAGGTTAAAAGCAGAAGGTGGGCCTATATGATTTTGAACACAGCCTTCATCATGTTCTGCACAGGTTTAGAAGTTTTCCACTTTAAATGTGTATGTTATATCAGTGGGTGTACAGTCTCTACACAGTGATGTTACTGTGTACTTATCTGCATTTAGCCGACCACACTACATTAGTGTTTTACAAGCTTACACATCACTAGAGGGCGCTTGATGCTTGATAGGTGGTAATAATCTAACACTTATTCTTTTAATCATGATCATAACATCATTAGAGAGCTGTAAATAACATAATTGATGGTAAGTGTTAAAGTTTAACAGTGGTTAAGCTCCTTATTTAACTTGGAAGCTTATTAAATCAACATCAACATGTGGAATAGCCCCATTGAGGATTATGTTATTATATTACTGGATCATTAGTAGTGCTCTTACTGATTGGATAGGGAGGACATGATTATACCGAACAAGCAGTTATTCTACAATAAACAGTGCAACAAAACCTTGAGCATAATGCTCCTGTTACAGGACAAAACGCACAAGAGACAAATCTCTCTGAAGGAGGATGCCCATGTAAACTGTATGTCTTGTGCACTATGTCGGAGGGACCTCTCTATATACAGCCAGAGTGAAGGTAACAAACTATTTACTTGATTCTTTTCTGCAGTAAACAAGATAAGAGAGAAGAT